ACCATCCTCGGGGCACAGAGGACCCTGTGGAAGAAGAGGCAGAAAGAATGTAAGAAGCAGAGATGATGAAGGGCACCAAGGAAATAGGCCTTCCAGATCCAACAGGACCGAAGCACACATGAGCTCACAGAAACTGTGGCAGCAGCTTAGGGCCTGCACAGGTCTAAGCCAGATGGAGCTCCAGTGCGGAAAGGAAGTAGACATGGACTCCCATTCCTAACCCAGAAATTATCTTCAGCCGACAACTACTTGCAAGTGAAAAATAGTTCTCTCCAACGTATTCTCACTGGCTATACAAAACAGGTTTAAGGCAGGTCCGTTGCCCAGCAGGAGATTGCTAATACAAAACCAAATGAAAGGTATTTGTTTTAGACTTTTTGATTCATACTGCTTTGATTAGGCATTTCTTTTTTACTGGTCTTTTGCCTGTAAATGGTGGTCTCCAATTTCTTTTTTTTAAAGATTCATTTATTTATGTGCATCCATGTTTTGCCTGTATGTGTGTCTCTGTGAGGTGTCAGATCCCCTGGAATTAGAGGTGCCGACAGGTGTGAGCTGCCGTGTGGGTGCTGGGAATTGAACCCAGGTCCTCTGGAAGAGCAGCCAGTGCTCTTAGCCGCTGAGCATCTCTCCAGCCCTATATGGTATCCAACCTTCTGTTTTCCTGGAGCTGTGCGTATATTTGTGTTTCTTGTGCTTTTTCCTTGTTTTGTTTTTTTGTTTGCCCATTTGGTTTTTGTTTTGTGTTGTTTTCTAAAGAGAGAGAGAAAGAAGGAATGGAGTTGTGTGGATTGTGGGAGATGGAGAGGAGCTGGGGGAGGGGAAACAGAATATATTGTATGAAAAATATTTTCATTTAAATTTTTTTAAAGAAAAACTAAAAACTATTCATTAAAAGAATAAGTTCCAATATAAACATTAGAAGCAAATATTCCTGCCTCACCCTCAAAAGGAACATTATTGTCTCTACAGAAGCCAAATAAACCTGCCCTCTGCTGCACAGGAGAGGCCATGCCCCATAGACAAACACTCTGCTCAGCTGGGGAAGACTGTACCCCATAGGTAAACATTCTTGGAGGCAGCTGGAGCCCAGGCAGCCACACCCCTTGGGCCAGACTTTTCAGAGTCATGGGTGGAGTGACTCCTGAGAGCAGCAATGGCTGGCCCCTGTGAGATCAGAAGAGGTTGTCCATGGCACTGGTTAGTGGCTCAGTGTATGGATTCAGGGAGTCAAGAGCTCATGCTCAACTCCCAGCTCTGACACTTGACTAAGTTACTACTCTGAGGGGCATTGGCTGCTCCCACAGAGAATCTGGGTCAGTACCCTGCACCCATATTGGGTGGCTCACAGACACCCAATTTTAGTTTTAGATCTGATGCCCCCTTCTGGCCTCCAAGAATGCTGCATGCATGTTGTGTACAAATTTACATATAGACACGCTTATACACATAAAATAAAAAGAAGTTAAAAAATTTAAAGTGAAACACAGTGTCTGTCTCTTAGAAGGATTGAAAAACCGAGTGAGATTCAATTGAAAGCAGTTGGCAGAGAGCTGCAGGCACAACGGGGCCAATCAAAGTTAGCTGTAATTATTATTAATTACCCGACTGTGCTGCTGAGCCTGTGGCTCTGCCTGTTTTGTAGCTCTCTAAACCACAAGGTGCTGCTCAGCATTGCAAGGACTTCAGACCACACCCACACCGCCTAGGTCAACCCTCCCTTCAGTGCTGGGAGGGAAACCCTGGAGCTGACACCAGGGACAGAATCTGGATTTCACGAGCTGGGCCTGTGCTCTACCACAGATCTCACCAGTCCCTGGGGTCCTTCTTGGTAAACGGGAGCACCAGGGTTTCAGGATCAGACACTCCGATTCAAATCCCGACTTGCTACAAGCCAGCTGAGTGACCCTGGGTGAGCAGTTTGCAGAGAGAGGAACATGCCAGGTGTGGAAGTGAGGGTGAGCCGCCAGCATTAGTGACAACATGCTGGCTCCGTTTCACCCTGCCAGGAAGCACAGGAGAGTGGGGAGGTAGCTCTGCGTGTCACGGGGGAAGCTAGCACAGTTAGTTCAGTTGCCTTCCATGCCTGTGAAGTGGGTGGAGCAAGGCAGGTGACTATGGGGATCAAATGACATGACAATCTCTTTCCCATCCTGAACATCTCCAGGACTGTGTGACTCAGGGGGGCTAACAGATTGAAAGGAGCCAAGGCCTGATGGCTCACACCTATGTATCATCCTAGCACTCCAGAGCGAGACAGGAAGAGTGCATGGTCGAAGCTAGCCTGGGCTGTATAGCAAATTCCTGTCTCACAAAACTAAACCTGGGCCAGGCAGAATGGTGCATGCTTTTAATTCCAGTACCTGTGCCAGAGGAAGGTGGCTCTCTGTGAGTTCGGTCCAGCCTGGGCTATATACACATAGTCTCAAAAACAAAAACAAAAAACGGTGGTCAAAGAAATTCTAGCCAATCGGCACCCTCCAGGCACAGACCACAAGGAACAGGGATTGGTAGGTGAGGCATCCCCAGTAGGCTGTCTGTGGGAATGCAACCCTGATGAACCTGGTAGGTAACCAGCTTATTTGAAGTTTGGGGTCTGCCGGTCTCACTGTTCCTGGGTCTTTGGGTCACCTCCCAGATAAAACTATTCACTCCTAAGATCTTCTCTTGGGTTCTGCTTCTGCAACACTCAGAAATAAGACACTTGTCTGCACTGTTGAAATGACTGGCCTTACCATACTGGGCTGAGTCACAGTCTCCACGTCGCCACTCAAATCTTCACAGTGGGCTGGAGAGATGGTTCAATTGGTAAGGAGCTTGCCATCAAGTCTGATGACCTGAATTGGGCTTCCCAGACCCACATGATGGAAGGAGAGAACAAAATCCCACAAGTTGACATTACACACACGCATACACACACACACGCAAATGCACAGGGAAGAGAAAGGAGCTGAACCAGCTCAGTAGCCTGAGTCATAACTCTGTTCCACAAAGGACTCTAAGTCCTTTGTCCAAGCTGTCTACCCTGAAGTGGAGTAAAGGGGACCACACTCATTCTGAGCTATAATGACATCCTCTAACTGGTCCTCCTCTGGTGCACACAGACCTCCCTTCAGGGCCAGGAACTTCAAATGTCCCTCCACCCTCAACCAGGACTTCTCAAGTGTCCCTGGGGCAGACACACAGAAAGGCAGCACATTCATCCCCAAGGCTACAGGGCAGAGGGGAAGGGCGTGGCTGGGGACAGAGGCATGCAGCTGGACTCTCAAGTGGTTCCCAGTCCCCTGGTCCTCTCCCCAGAGCTCCCTGAGCAAGGCACAGGTCCAAACCCCAGGGCCTGCCCTACAAGGTCATACCCAGGGAAACGGGTTCTGCAGGATGGATCTTCTTCCTGAGCTACAACTGCCAGGCCTGGAATTAGCCACAGCACCTGTGGAGGGCAGGCCTCATGGCAGTAGGGACCTCAGATGACTCAGCATTAGGTAGTTGGCTCAGCATCATTAGGGGGGAGAAGGGGCTAAAGATCTCATTCCAGCTCAGCACCAGGGTCAGCTGACTCACTGACAAGCTGGGTGGCCATGAGTGAGCTCCTTGGGCCTCAGTTTCCCATCTGTAAATTGGGGAGGGGTTGGCTGTATGTGCCCTATAGGTGGAACTCTGCCTAGAATCCTTCAGTGAGGTCATGAGTGGGCAGAGGAATGCTTGCTGAACATGGGGTAAGGCTCTGAGTCTCACACTCAGCACTGCAAAAAAAAAACCACGGTCGGATGTGGCCCAGTGCTGTGGTGAAGACCTGTGACCCCATACTCTGCTGGCCTGAGATGGAAGAGTCACGAGTTCCAAGTTAACCTGGGTCCATTGGATGATCCTGTCTCAAACAAAGTGAAAGTGTCTACCCTACCCACTAGGCTGGTGATGGGGTGGGGGTGGGGGTGGTGCCAGTGGTTTGACGTGGGCCTTCATTGTTTGCCTATGAGTTTTTATCATTGGCACTCTGGAAGATACATTTAATCTAGTCTTCTTTTACCACAAAGGGAAACTGAGTCTGCGAGGTGAGAACACAGACCAAATTAGGGAAGGGGTAGAGAAAGGACTTGGAAAGGTGTAGGACCTGGACCAAGAAGGTCTTTTTCTGGGCCAGGAGTCACTCAGGGAGATTTCCCAGGGGCGCTAGCATGGGTGGGAACTACAGGAGTTGAAAGCCATTTGTTGTTTCTATAGGTACTAGGGAGCCACAGCAGGTTTTGAACAAGAAAGACAGAGTATAGGGTTCAGGAGCCCAGGCCTGCCCAGAGTTGTAAATTTGCACGAGATGAGCCATGGCAGCTGATGGACCAGGCTTCTCACCTTGGTGAGCTGCATGTAAGAGTGCATGGTGACAGGAGAGACAGCGATGTAAGAGACAGAGAGAGATGGAAAAGAGACAGAGCTCTATAGAAAGAGAGATAATGGAAGGAAAGGAGAGCAGAGGAGAGAGGGGAACAGAGACCGTGCCAGGTGTTGGCAGAGGACCCAAATGAAGACAACTGCTCGAATACCCACAGGCAGAACTGAGCAGGACACGGACGCAACCAGGATCTTCCATCTGAGGCAGACTGTGAGCCCGCTCACAAACCTTCATTCTTCCCTGGAGCCAGGGAAACTGAGGCTGCCAGGTGCAGCCCCGCCCCAGGCCTGGCCATAGGACCCTCCGGGGACCTGCCTGTTGCCTACACTCATATGTGGGCCCCATGCCTGTGTTACCAGGTTATAGATAGAACCGGATCTAGTCTTTTTTTTTTTTTTTTTTTCTTTTTTTCTTTAAGAAAAGCCTAGGCCCAAATAAGGTGAGGGCTTCGGCCGGTGAGCTGGCCAAGTCCTCCCAAGTGCAAGCGAGTGGTGGCTGGCCCAGCAGAAGACTTGGGCCTCCTCCAAGACTCGCCCGCAGGAGGGCGGGCACCCAGGGACTATAAGGCCTGGTCCTCCACCCTGGGTTGCTCACTCAGCCCATTCCTCACAGAAGCCATGGAGGCCATCAAGAAGAAGATGCAGATGCTGAAGCTGGACAAGGAGAATGCCATCGACCGTGCTGAGCAGGCAGAGGCGGACAAGAAAACTGCGGAGGACAAGTGCAAGCAAGTAAGAGCTCTGCTCCACACTGGGCCGCTTCCAGGCTGCTGCCCCCTCTCTGTGCTGACTTCATCCCCTGCCTCAGGCCGCGCCTGAGGGGGAGCTCCTCAGGGGGAGCTCCTCGGAATGCCCAGGTACTGTGGGGAGGGTGGGGACTGACGCCTGTAATAGAAAAGGCAAGGGTCCAGCTGGGGAGGTGGCTCAGCAGTGAAGGAGCTGAGTCCAAGACACGTAGATGACCTGTGTTCAGCCCGGGGGATCCACACGCTAGGAGAACAGAAGCACCTCCAGCCGGCTGCCCTCTGACCTCCACATTTGTGCCATGGCACTTGGATGTGTAGTTTTGTAACAAAACAAAGAAAAGCTGAGGGGAGCCCTGTTTCTCCTAGCAGATGGGGCACCCACACCGCAACAGCAAGAGCCGCTGTAGTCTCTGGTGTGAGAGCAGCTGATAGCACCTTAGCAGGCTCAGAGGCAACCTGAGAAAGGGAGGAGGGGTGTGAGTCAGGGCTGGGCGTGGAGGCTGCTCTCCCTGTGTACACTCACATCTGTGTGAGTGCTTTTCCTCACTACAGGGTCAAGGGGTGAGGAAGACAAGTGTGTCTGTCTGTGCTGCTGTCACAGCCACAGGATGGACTGTAGTGCTGGGACATGGATCCACGAGGCCATTATCAGAATGGCCATTGCCCTGTGTGCACATCTGTGTGTCTAGGTTAAGTGTGTCAGTGTGTTCCCACTTGTGACAGCAGCCTGAAAAGAGTGGCTGTGTGTGGAGAGGGATGACCTATAACCCTCTCCATGGGGGAAGGAGCACTAAGAACTCTGGGGACAGGCTATCAGGCTCCCTGTGACAGGCCTGAGCCTACTTCCACCTTGGCCACCTTGGAGCCGCCATGAAATAGAAAGTTTGGGGAGCAGATGCCCAGGAGGCCTTGGGGTGGGGATTCCCATGGGAGCTGGGGTGGGGGGACATGGACCCTGGCTCAGCACTCACACAGCTGCTGTGGTGACTTGGGCAGAACAAACTCGATTGCTTCAATGTGGTGTCCAGAGCCACAAGTGAAAAGAAGGAAGGCAGCCCTGTTCCCACGTCCACAGTGCTCCCCCTGCCCCAGGGTGCCCCACCACAGGGTCATGGCAGAAGCCCACACGATCAGCTGTGACCTCAGAGAAGCTAGGGGGTCCCCCACGGTGGTGACACCAAAGTTGAAGCCCTGCGCAGGCCAGGAGTTAGTTCAGACAGAAGGCGCCGTCACCGTGTGCTCTAGGACAAGCACCCAGGTCTTGTGGCCTCCCCATAGGGTGGGGAATGGCAGCCATCTCCCCAGCTCCGTGGAGGCTCGTGGGTGAGTGTGCAGGTGAAGCCCTTGGCCACGTGCCTAGCTCGGAGTACGCACTAGGCTGCCGCCCTGCCCTGCCTGGCTTCCCTTTGGAGCCCAAGTGCCCATCCCCCGCTGTCCCAGGACTGCCCAGAGAGCCTACTGGGCTGGCTCCGCCCCTCCTCCTTGCCTGGTGCCCCCTCCCGGCAAACACAGTGGTCCCTCCTAGGCTGGGGTGCCTTTCCTCCAGGCTTCCTCAAGGGCTTGGCTTAGGAAACAAGACGAAAGTCTGTGGCTCCACTTCTCACTAAATAGTGAGTGGTTATCTAGCTTAATCTCCCAAGGGAGCCTAGTGCTCAAAAGAGAAGATTCCTGCGGTCTCCAGGCAGCGCTGTGACCAAAATAGTGGCAGTTTGTCCTGTTTCTCGCTAGATTTTTCTTTTCTTTGTGTGTCTGTGTCCCAGATGACAGAGAATTGGTGTCCTACTTCATCATCCTCTGCTTTATTCCTTTGAGGCAGGGTTCCTCACTGATCCTGGAGCTGGCCTGGTGGCCATAAGAGCTGGTGATCCTCCCCCACAAAGTGCTGGGGTTACATGTTTGTTTGTTTGTTTTCTTGTTTGAATGGGTGCTGGGGATTTGAACTTGGGTTATCATGTTTCCCTGAACAGTTTTTTGTTTGTTTTCTATATTTTCTAAGTCTTTTTTTCTCAAGCCACCTGCTAGGAGTGACTTGGGTTCAAATCCAGGTCTCTCTCATTTTGTTTTGTGCTTTCAGGTAGTGGGGTACACATGTAAAGCTCAGAGGACTCAGAGGACACCTTTTAGGAGTTGCTTCTTTCCATCTACCTTCTGGGTCCCGGGTCTGAACTTGGGTTTTCAGGCTTGGCAGCAAGTGCCTCTCTTCACTGAGCCAGCACGCTGGTGTGGCCTTTTGACACATGATCCAGCTATGTGGCACAGGCTGGCCTGCAACCCACAAGCCATCCTCCTGTCTGAAGCTCCCAAGTGTTGGCTTGACAGGTGTCCACCACGGTGCCTGGCTGTAGGCCACTGTCTCTGAGGCTCCATGAAATGGTGGGATGCTCTGTGCTGCAGTGGCCTGCAGCAGAAGGCAGGGCACAGAACCCAAGGCCAGTCCCTCCTGCTGGCAGTCGAGGTTATGGGGTAGATATGGGTACCGATATGGATTCCCCTTCCCCAGATGGCCCAACACTGCGGGAGGACAGAGGCTCAGGACCATCAGAACCAACCACTGCCCCCAGGACCCCCAGGGACCTCCATCAGGCCCAGTTCCCCACTGTGCCCGTCCAGTGTGGAATGAGGATGGAAAACTGTCCCGGCTGTTTCCTGCCCACTCCCAGCCCAGGGCAGTAACATCCGTTACTGTGCCCCGTGACCCCACATCCTGCCACCACCTCACTAAACTGTGTATTCTATGACCACTTTACTGGGAGAGAAACTGAGGCCCAAAGCACAGTGGCTAGATAAGGAAGGCTGTACATCCACACACTTTGTGTGGGTTTAGACCGAAGGAAAATGACCCAGTTCCTGTTGCTCTTATTTATTTTTCATGCCCACATTCTGCCACTGGAAGCTTTGGAGCATGTCACTGATCCAGTCAGCAAACTCCTGGGGGTTGGGGGCCTGAGTTTGGATTCCCACATCCTGTGTAAAAGCCCAGCACAGCAGGACACGGCTGTAACCCCAGCAGTGGGGGAACACAGGGACAGGGGGACCCACGGGCTCCCTGCCCAGCCAGTCTAAGCACACTACTGCTGTGTTCTGCTGCTGGAGCCCATGGTGGCTTCAGCTGTGAACATGGCCCTTGGTGAGCTGGGGCTGGGGACAGTGATGTCCCCAGTCGTAGGGTGCTAGAGGGAGAAGGATGGGTGGGCATTTTCACAGAATAAGGTGTGGACAGCAGAGCCACAGAGTCAAACCAGCATTGACATCAAACTTCTGTGTGACTGAGTCTGTTCCTCAGATTGCCACTCTGTATCGTGGGGCTTCAGTGAGTCTCAGCTCCTGACTGTTCCTGTAAGTGCTGTCTCCCAAAACATCAGGAACTCAGTCAGATACCCAGTCAGGCGAGGGGACACATGCTTGTTGCCCCAGCACGCCAGAGGTGGAGACAAAAGGAATTCAAGCTTATCCCTAGGCTATATAAGATCCTGCCTCAAAGCAACAACAACAAAAAACCAAACCAAACCAAACCAAACCAAAAAAACCACCCAAAAACAAACAAAACAAAACAAAAACAAAGCAGAAAACAAACAGGGCCTAGAGAGATGGGTCAGTGGTCAGCAGCACCTGTTGCTCTTACAGAGGCCCTGAATTCAGGTGGCGGCACTTGTTGCCAGGCAACTCAGCACTGCCTGTAACTCCAGCTTTGGGGATCCAATGCCTCTGCAGGCACCTGCGATCAGACACACACACACACACACACACACACACACACACACACACACACACAATTTTTTTTTAAAGCATACAAATCCCCTCAAACTCTCTTTATAGCCTATGAGTCCAGTTGGGTCAAATCTGTCTCATAGTGAGAGAGTTCCCATGCTTGGCATACAGTAGGTGCTCAATAAACTCCACTCCACAGGTCCAGAAGAAAGACAAGTGTGTAAGGCCAGCCTTGATCTGTGAGATGTTTTTAAGGGAACTGAGTGAAGAGAGAGAGCTGCATGCCCCAGAGTGTTGAGAGTTCACCAGACCAAGGTTTTTATTCTGCAGAGAGGGAGAGCAGGCCTGAAGTGCTAAGATGAGTCCAGGCACATCCATCTTAGTGAATCTGCAGAGAAGGAGAGCAGGCCTGGAAGCTGGGGAAGCTGGGCCCAGGCACATCCATCATGGTGACAGACTGGGACTGTGTTCAGGGTGGCCAGCTGGGGCTGCTCTCAGCTGTGCCTCATCTACGCCTGGCTCTACCACCTGGAGGGCGGGCTTCCGCTCTGCCCCACTGAGCAGTGCCTGGCCAGGCTGGCAGCACTGAGCGTCCAGTCAGCACGGAGCCTCCCCTCCCAGGTGGCAGCTCTTTGAATGGGCTCCCTTAGGGAGGAAAGAGAACAAAGCCTGAACCCCAGCTGTCAGGAGGCAAAGACAGCAGAACTGTGAGTTCTGGGCCAGCCTGATCCACACAGTGAGACCCTGTCTCCAGAAATAAAAATTAAAAAGGTGAAGAGCATTTAACGTCCTCTTGAATGGTGTGTGTGTGTGTGTGTGTGTGTGCTCCCGTGCACAGGCCTAGCTGGTTACCATCTTACTTAACACTTAACTGTCCATGGCATCAGAGACTTGGTGTGAGCATGCAATCACCAACAATTTTATTTGAGAACTGGCTCCAGTCCTGGGGCAGCCACCCTCTGCTTCCTGCTGAAGGAGACAGGAAGCTGGCCGGGCGAGGGCTACCTGCTCCAGGCCACATACAGCCTTAGGTCTCCAGCAGTAGCCTGCACTGCCACTGCTGTAGCGGCGGGAGTGGTCGCGGAAGCACTCACGTGGGCTGGGTGGCTCTCAGAGAGATGGATAGACCCGCCTCAAACCGGAAGTGGGGACAGATTCTCAGGACAAACGGGACTAGATTCTGGAGAAGATTAAGTGGCATATTAATTAAAACAGTTGCATGACAAATGTGCAAAAATTGGAGAGAGAACTGGGCTTGTGAGGGCTGGTCTCTAAGGCTGAGTCTCTTCCAGGAGAGCCCTCAAAGCCAGGCATGGCAACAGGGTCTGGGCTCTTCAGGGTGTTTGGGTGACACCATCCTCACTTCTCAGAGCAATGGGGAGCCAGGGAAGGCTCTAAGCAGGGAGAAGGGCCTGCATTTGTCAGAAAGTCTGACTGTGGAACTCCAGAGACATCAGAGGGTCCACTTCTCCGACAGAGATCACCTGAAAGCTGCATTCTGAAAATGGGAATGCAAAATCCAATTTGTAGTGTTTATAAGCAAATTAAAGCTCCGACTTCAAGAGAGCGGGGACTCGGCTAAGTCCAAGGATGACCAGTCCCTAGGTCAAGAGAGGAGTGAACTCTCTCAGCAGGTAGCTGTATTCAGTACTGCACACTCAGGGCAGCGTGTGAGAGAGACAGAGCAGATTTCTATTTTATATGAGTGGGTGTTGCACGCAAGCCAGTGCAGCAGTGTCCCTCGGACCGGGGCTGGGTCCTCGCAGAAGACCTTGTCTGTGTATACTTTTACTTTCTACACGAATGAGGGCGCGTGTGTGAGGTTAGAGGCCAGCTTGCGGGAGTGGGTTCTGTGGACGGACTCTGAGCTTTAGGCTTGGCGGCAAGCTTCTTTACCCGCGGAGCCATCTTACCAGCTCATATGGGCTTTAGGTTTCTTTGCAGGGCCTCAAACTCCCAATCCCTCTGCCTCAGCTTCCCATCGCTGGACGACAGGCGTGCACCAACACATCCAATCTCTACAGATAAGGAAACTGAAGCCCAGAGAGCTGGGACCCGGACCCGTAAGCTGACTCGTTTCCCTCTGTGTCTCTAGATGGAAGAGGAGCTGATACACCTCCAGAGGAAACTGAAGGACGGGGAGGATGAGCTGGACCGGCACTCCGAGGACCTGAAGGACGCGCAGGAGAAGCTGGAGCTGGCGGAGAAGAAAGCCTCCGATGTAAGCGCGGCTGCGGACGCCCGGCCGGGCTAGGCGGGGCGGGCGGCGCAGGAGGACTAGGAGCCCGCAGGGCAGCGGCGGCCAGTGGTGCCGACGTCAGCAGCCCCCCCGCCCCCAGCCCGGTGCTGACGTCGCGGGCCGGCCGGGGTGACCTCATCGTCCCGACGGCAGCGGTCGGGGGCGGGGAGAGGCGGGGGCGGCTCCGGCGTGGCCAAGGCTCGCGGGCCCGGGCGCGGCCGCCCAGCTGTCGCCGGAGCCTAGCGGAGCGAGCGCGCCATGGCCGGCCTCAACTCGCTGGAGGCGGTGAAACGCAAGATCCAGGCCTTGCAGCAGCAGGCGGACGACGCGGAGGACCGCGCGCAGGGCCTGCAGCGCGAGCTGGACGGCGAGCGCGAGCGGCGCGAGAAAGTGAGCGACCCGGGCCCGCCGTCGCCGACCCCCGCGACACCCCAGCTTCGCCCCGCGCGCGGCTGCTTTCCTTTCCGGCTCCGCGCGCTTCCACCCTTTCCCCCCCTCCCCCCTTCCTCTGCTCCGGCCATCCGCACCCTGGGACCCCGGAGCGGGCGCCGTACGCTGGTCGAGCAGGAAACGGGGGGATGGGCGGGAGCGAGCCATCGTGGGGCTCTCCGGGACGGCGGGCGGACTCCGCGCCCCCATTGTCTGCGGCTGGACCGTGGTGGGGGCGGGGGCGGCGCGCTCTCTCGCCTTCGCGCCGGAACTTTTCCCGAGCGTCCCTAGGGTGCGGCCGACGTGTCCGCTGAGGGCAGGGTGGGGGCAGAAGGCTCGGGACACGGTCCTGCAGGACCCCAATACCACTTTGTCTCCCCGGGGAGTACTCGCTAGGGGCCTCTCCACCCCCCGGTGTCGGAGCGCCCCCTCTGTGCGCCTTCGCGGCGGGTCCGGGGACCGGGTGCATGAATACTTCCCAAAGAGGAAGGAGCCTCCGCCTTCCTTCTCCCTCCTCATCCTTGAGTCAAGGCTAGGTTCGGAGGTGGATCTGGGGTCTAATCCAAGCTCTGGCACCCACAAGGCTCTCGATTCGCTGCTCTCCCAAGGGTCCGCTAGAGGTGGGTAGGCAGACGAGACTAGGGTGGTGCATTCCATACGGTTCCAGGGCTCTCAGAGCTCCGGCCCTAGTACTAGAGCGCTGTTTGCTTGCTCAGGAGACAAGGGAGGGGTGTTGTGGGGACGCCCGGGGTCCCTGAAAGCCAGTGTGGGGACTCCCGGCGGGGACCCTAGAAACTACCAGGCCAGGTGGAGTTGGCAGCGCAGGCGCCGCCTGGACTCCTCCCAAGGCGGCCTGGCCGACAGCCTGGCCTCGGTGGAAGTGTTGAATCCCTCAAGGGCCGCTTTGGCTGGAGGACGCTTTGGAACCTGTGGAAGCTCCACACAGTAGCTGTTCTGGCCTCTCACTCCAGTCCCACCCTAGACATCTCCAAAATGGCCCAGAGGCTCCAGCCAAGCCAGGAATTTGGCGGGGCCGGGGGAGGGGATACGGGGGAGTGCCTTTTGAAAACTTGGGGCGTTTTTAAAAGTTCGTGTGACAAAGTGTGCTTCTCTTGGTTGTGGGAAGACATCGAAAGTTGATTCCAGGCCAGAAGCACCCAGACCAGGAAAGGTTGTGGGGGGAGGTTTGGCAGACTTCTGGGCCTGTGTCCCAACAGCTGGTTTCATTTAGATTTTTTTGTGTGATTAACCGATGTCTTCCTGTTCCTCTGCCACAAGTATCCAGCAGGCCTCTTTTACCTTATAAGGGAAACCCTTTGTAGCCCGTGGATGGCTTTGATTGCAGGAAGGGGTGGAGCTCAGGATGACTGGCCTGAGTGACTGAGTGTGTGTGCCTGTGCCTGTGTCTTGTGCCGCATGTGCTGCCATTAATGCATGTTTGTGAGCAAGAGTTCTTTGGATTTTAAACAGTTGAAAATGTGCCATGATTCAGAGTGTGCCTCATCAGTCTGAGTTCTTTTCCATTTCTTTGGGACAATTCATGAATCAAGAAATGCAGTGTGGCTGTGAGAGTTGATTACCACCCTGGGTGTGTGCCGGGCCTCTGCAGCCCTGGCTGCTTCCGAGGCTGTGACAGAATGGTAGTGCTTGCTTAGCATGCACAAAGCCCCCTTCTCCAGGGTGAACTGGACGAGATGGTGCCTGCCTGCAACAGAGAGGTTGGAACGGGAGAGTCACAAGTTCAGGGCCAGACTATGTAGTTTGAGGCCAGCCTGGGCTACATAAAATCATGAATCAAAGAACAACTAAAAATTGCTGACTGCAGAGGGGCACAAGGTTCTTTATAGAAAATAGCAAAAGTTAACAAACTAATAGTGGTCCTGATTGCATACTTTCACTAAATATACCAAAAATGGAAGTGGGTAGGAGCCAGTCCTGTCCTAGTTGTTGACTGTTATTGGTATTGAAGTCCAGAACATTAGAAAGAGGCACCTGTGGGCCACTGAGATGGTTCGGCTTGATAGAGGTGCTTGCCACTAAGGCTGACGACCTGAGTTCAATCCCTAAGACCTGCAGAGTGGGAGGAGAGACCTGAGACACACACAGAGGCACATTGTGTTGGGGGAGGGTGGTCAGAGATCACAAGTGTGTGTGTGTGTGTGTGTGTGTGTGTGTGTGTGTGTGTGTGTTGACAGGCAGCATGTCCTTTCTGCTTTCCCTGCTGTGTTAACTGAGACAGGGAGGGCCCAGAATCCCCCTGGTTTTTATAGCTGACCCCTGTGGTTATCCCTGAAAGGAAGCTGATAGCGTGACTTCCTTCTTCAACTGAGCCTCATGCACTCATCAGTGTGTGTGCTGGGAATCCAAACTCAAGGCCAAGTGCTTTCCCCACTCAGCGGCTCCCTAGCTCTCCCTCTTTCTGGGCTTTTGTAGTCTTGCTATATAATGGCCCAGTCTAGCCTGAAGCTCTTTGTCCTTCGGCTTCAGTCACCCGGAGCTGGGATCACAGGCGTGTGTCACCATGCCCTGCTAACTGAGTCTCATGTGACCAACCTTCCACGCTCCTTTTCCAGGGTGACAGAGCCCCAAGTCATTGAAAAAACCCACTGTACTGATGGGGCCTCCTTGTCCCTACTGTAAGGTGAGTGAGACTTGGAAGATAAAGCAGTACCAGGGCCAGCAAGATTGAGTTTGATTCCCAGGACATGGTGGAAGGGAGAACCAGCTCCTGAAAGTTGCCACACAGGTCCCCTCTTATACAAACTAAATAAATGTCATTCAGAAAAGTAATGGTAACAGAACACAGCTTACCTCCCTACAAACTCCCCAAGTCTTTCCCATGTTTTAGGGATAAGCCTTGTCACAGCCCTTAGTCCTGTGATGGGTTCCGGCTTTGAGAAATACAGGCATAGAAAGTGAGACAGCCTGCCACTTGACCCCAGCGCTCCTGCAGGTGAGAAAGGATCCTGGAGAGCAGTTAACCGTGCTCAAGTCCAGCTCCAGGGCGGGACACTTGCTGAGTGTGCACAGTCTCCCCCCTTCCCTTTCCCACTACAAAAGGAAAGAGCAAACACAAACAACAAAACCACCAAAGAGCCACTAGTAGTAGTCTGCCCATGCCTTTAGCTCAGATTCTTTCCCTTCTCCTACCATCCAGCTCTGGGCCCTCAGTGGGACTGGACTCTTGAGGTGTGTGGGAGTGGACTGTGACATGCTCAGCAGGGTCCCTGGGAGCCCAGGAACTGCCTTTCTGAGAATCCTGCCTTGAGCCTGAGTACCTTCTTGTGGAACTTATCCTAATGCTGGATATTATGGGTTGTGAAAGGCCAGTGCTAATCTAGTTACAGTGAGTTTGTAGCTGAAAGTGCCTCCATTTGGCTCTCCTCCTGCCTTAGCCTTCAGGGTGCTGGGATGTTAGTCATGTCCCACCAGACCTGGCCAGTTTTCCTTCCTTCCTTCCCTTCCTCCTCCCTCCTTCCCTTCCTTCCTTCCAGACACTATGTATCCCTGGCTGGCCTGGAACTAAGGGAGAGCTACCCATCTTTGCCTTCCAAGTGCTGGGATTAAAGGTGTGCTCCACCCAGGCTTGACTTTCTTTTTACTGTTGCAGTTAGATTCTTTTCCAGCATATGATAGCTGCACAGATTCCTTCTCCTGTGTTGACTTGGTTGGCCAGTGGTCATAGAGTGGATTCCCCTGAAGTTTTCAGGGAGACTGAAATTTTATGTTCTCCAGAGGGGCCTTGCCTTGTGTCAGCACCTAGGGAGACTGAAGCAGAAGGATCCCTGAGTCCAGGAGTTTGAGAGGAGCCTGGTTAATGGATGAGGTCCTGTTTCACAGATCAGTATTTTTTTTTTTAAATCAAGTATAAATTCAGATGAGTTGTGAAATTCCCTTGAGCCTCGACCTGTGAGTGTGCTGTAACAGGGGATCATGGTCATTGAGGGATGGTGCAGTGGCGACCGGTGCTCACCAGCTCTCCATCCCTCCCCCCTTCCCTCCCCCTTCCTTCCTTCCTTCCTTCCTTCCTTCCTTCCTTCCTTCCTTCCTTCCCTCCCCTTCCTTCCTTCTTTCTTTCTCTTTCTCTCTCTCTTTCTTTCTCTTTCTCTCTTTCTTTCTCTCTCTCTTTCTCTTTCTCTTTCTTTCTTTCTCTTTCTTCCTCCCTCCCTCCCTCCCTCCCTCCCTCCCTCCCTCCCTCCCTTCCTTCCTTCCTTCCTTCCTTCCTTCCTTCCTTCCTTCCTTCCTTTTTTGAGACAGGGTTTCTCTATGTAGCCCTGGTTATCCTGAAATGCACTCTCTAGACCAGGCTGGCCTTGAACTCACAGAGATCCAGGGGCCTCTGCCTCTCTAGTGCTGGGATGAATGGTGTGTGCCGCCGCCATCTGACGGCCTTCCCTTCCTAACCTGGCTGCCCCCTCTGCTGCCCTAGGCTGAGGGAGATGTGGCTGCTCTCAACCGCCGCATCCAGCTAGTGGAAGAGGAGCTAGACCGGGCTCAGGAGCGACTGGCCACGGCCCTGCAGAAGCTGGAGGAGGCAGAGAAGGCTGCAGATGAGAGCGAAAGGTAGGATGCTCTGATCTCTGGAAGACCGGGGATGGTGGTACTCACTGTGGGTCCAGTGCTGGAGAAGGAAGGAGGATCAGTTTTACATAGCAAGTTCCGGGCTGGCCTAGGCTATGTGAGGCCCTTCCTCACTGAAAAAGATGTGTGTGAGGGCTGATGGCTCAAATTTAAGTGCTTACATCCCCAGCACCCACATGAAAAGCCAGTGTGGTTACACAAGAGGACACTGGGGCTTGCTGGCTGCCAGCCTGCCTCCCAGGTTCAGTGAGATACCCTGAATCTGTAGAGTAAGACAAAGAGTGATAGAGCTGGACGCCTGCCATCCTTCTCTGGCTTCCATGTGCACAAGCACACACACATACAGATTCTGGATGGAAAAAAAATGTGATGGTACTGGTGACCTCAGAGCTGAAGGCCCAGGATCTGTTGGTTTTAAATTCAGCTCCTTTTTCTGTTTTGTTTGCTTTGAGGCAGGGTCCACCTGCGTAGTAGCCCAGGCTGGCCCCGACTCCCAGTAGCCTTCCTGTCTTGGCTTTCTGAATGCTGGGGTGACAGGTGCTCTGCCACGTACCCAGCTTGTTTTCTTTATGCTGGCCTAAGAGAATACTTTCCAGCAGGCAAAGAAAAGCGAAAATGGGCAGGCATGGGCGAGGGCGTCAGAGCATGTAGAGACAGTTGAATTTCTAGATGATGTGGAGAAAAGAGGAAGAGATAGACTGGGCAGGTGTGGCAGGGTAGACTTCCATCCCAGGACCAGGGAGCAGAAGCAGGGTGACCTCCCGCATGTGCGGACATGGCGGCCTCCATTGTGTGGCAAGCTTTAGGCTTTTGGACAACAACAGCTGTATTTTGGGGACAGAGCATAACCAACCATCACTGTGTGCAGCGTCTGAGCTGCATCTGGGCTTCCACAGGAGCTGTGTCCCACCATCCCCAGGAGTGTGTCTCTGGTGTGTCTCAGCTTGGAGGGTGGAGGGCAAATTGTGCAGCTGCAAAAGCTCGGGCCATGGATAGTGTGGCCAGCCCAACACTGAAGGTTTCTCTTTGTAGGCTTCTCCCAAAGAACTGATTTCAGATTGTGCTGCTGTGACCATAAAGCAGGCACTAGACGGCAACTGGCAGCTAGGGTATAGCCTGATGGCGAGCTTCTGCCATGTGTGTGTCCAGCACTAGAAATAATTCTCTTGGGCTATGGAAGTGGTCTAGCAGGTAAAGGTGCTTGCTGCCAGGTCTGACCTGAGTTCAGTCACACATGGTAGGAGAGAGCCAACTCCTAGAAGTTGTCTTCTGACCCCCACGTGTGCGCCATGTTAGTGCACACCCTTAAACACATTTAGGCTGGGCATTTCGCAGCCTCTAACTTCAGCTCCAGGGAATACAGTACCTCTAACCTCTCTGGGCACCTACACTCACACAGACACACACTTTAAAATAATAACAGTAATAATAAGTAAAAAACACAATGGGCCACTGAATTGCTCAGTGGGTAGGGGCACTTGTCAGGTCTGGCAACCTGAGTTCAGTTAGTGCCTGGGACTCTCGCCGTGGAAGCAGCGACCCCTGTGGGTATTTCCCAGCCTATACATGTGTATGCACATGTGTGCATACACAAAGAAATGTAAAATTATGAGTCAGGTATTTTGTCATATTCTTTACTTTTTTTTTTTTTTTTTAAGATTTATTTACTCTATTTTCATTGATGGTTTACTTGCATGTATGTCTGTGAAGGTGCCAGGTCCCCTGGAATTGGAACTGTGGTGCCATGTGGTTGCTGGGAATTGAACTCAGGACCTTTGGAAGAATAGCCAGTGCTTTTAACCTGAGAGCCATCTCTCCAGCTCTATCTATTCCATACTTTAAATAACATGTCAAAAAGCCTTGTGCCTAGCTTCCGTCTTTGGTTTGTGTGTGTGTGTGCATGTGTGTGCTTGTTTGAGACAGGGTCCTGGGTGTCCTGGAACTTGCTATATAACCAGGCCGGCCGAGAGAGAACTCACAGAGAGCCACCTTCCTCTGCCTTCCCAGTGCTGGGGTTAGAAAGTGTGCCCTGTGTGCCACCATACCTGATCCCTCTCTCTCTCTCTCCAAATTGATTCCGTTTCATTTGTGTGTGCCACAGAACAAGTGGAAGTGAGAACATGTTGTAGGAGCTGGCTCTCCCTATCATCAGGCTGCTGGTGGCAAGTGCCTGTACGTACGCCATTGAGATGTCAGAGTAGCTCCGTCCTGGTTTTTGAGGCAGGGTTTCTCACTGGACAGGAGTTCAGGAATACTTTCCCCATCTCCCCAGCAGTGGGGTCACAGTGGAAGCACTCGACCTCAGCCATCTCCCTGGTTCCCACTACCTCCTCTGCTCCGATCCGTGAAGCTCGGCCAGAGCAGGCTTTGCTCTGAGGCGGCTGGGTTCTGGCTGTCCTAGGACATCCTTCTTTCTGGGAGGACATAGGTGTCCTTATCTGAAATGCTTGAGACAGAAAATATTTAGGAATTGGGGTTTCAAGATTTGGGGGTATTTGCATATGTATAATGAGATATCTTAAAGGTATACACAGTAAGTTCGTATGCATCTTATGTCCCTTCTGTGCAGGGCCTGCGGGTCATCGTGGGCTTCCAGTGTGCCCTTCTTTTAACAGTAGCCTGTCACCCGAGGAGTTTTCCATTTGTGCTGGGACTGTGCGCAAAGGTTCAGGTTGTGAGTGGGCCTTAGTGATAGAGTTCTTGCTTAGGATTACACAGCGCTGGATACCAGCCCCTGTATGTCCAAAAATAAAGGTGTATTCTGAAAGCCAGGAATGGTGGTGCATTCCTTTCACCTCAGTGAAAAAAGAAAGGAAAAAGCCTAGTTTGTTTTTGAGCACTTGGGGCTGCTCAAGCTGTGCCTGCCTTTCCTGTAGCGTTGCACTGCACCTTGTCCATTCTGTTTCCATTCAGTCCTGACTCTGGAAGCCCCCAGCAATTCCCTTTCCTCCCAGCATAAACATCCCGCCATCCTGGGCATGTGTTCTTTCACTCCTGTGGCTCTGCTCTGTGTTGTTGGTTGGTTGGTTGGTTGGTTGGTTGGCTCGCTGGCTAGTTTAGAGGGTTTTTTTTCTTTTTTTAAATTTTGTAATACAAAATCTTACTATGTAGCATTGGCTGGCCTGGAACTCAAAGAGATCCCTTTGCTTCTGCCTCCTGAGAGCTGGGACTAACGTCTGAGCACCCACACACAGCGCAGCTCTGGCTTTATTGTTTCCTTTTTTGTAAACTTTTCTTAATATTGAGACAAGATCCTGCTATATAACCCAAGATTGCCTGGACTCAAAGGCCTGTCTGAGTCTCCCGTGCGCTGAGATGACACATGGAGCACTCACCTACCAGCCTCCTCCCATCCTCTCCCTGCCCTTAGCTCAGCCTGGTGGTGATGAGGGCTCTCCCCTCCATTCCTACTCCACCTGCTCCTCAGCATTCTGCAGGTGTGGCCTCACATTCCACCGTGACTGCTGAGGCTCAGGCCTGTCTCCTGTGAGGAGTACAGGTGCACCCCGAGGATGCAGAGCAGCTCTCTAACCTTAGCCCAGTTTCTGTCTCCTAACAGTGGGGATGGTGTACACACAGCATGTACTGTGTGTATTGTGAAAGCTGGGGTACTTGACGGTGTCTGGAGGTCCACCAGACATGGTGGCGATGCACACCTGTCATTCCAGTGTTCCCAAAGGCTGAGGCCAGTGTAGTGGCCTGGGCAAAGTAACAAAACCCTGTCTTCTAAGAGCTCAAACAGGGAGTTGGGGTGTGTAGGACTGAAGAATGTTTGCCTGACAGCCTCAAAGCAGGGTTCAGTCCTCAACACCACATAGGCCCATCACCCCAGCCATGAGGAGGTGGAGGCAGGAGGATCAGGAGTTCAAAGCTATCTCTGACTGAATAGTGAGTTTGAGGATAGCCTGGACTATATGAGACCCTGTCTCAAACAAAACAAACAGAAAACCCACATGAGGTTGGGGAGATTGCCCTCTGGGATCAGTGCTTGCTCGACAAGACTGAGAACCTGCGTTAGATTCCCGCCCTCACGTCAAACCTGGACATAGGAGGAGGTCTATAATCCTAGCACTGGAGAGACAGAGACTGCAAGATCCCTGGGGCTCCAGGGTCAGTGAGAGACCTGTCTTAAAAAGATAGCATGTGCTGGAGAGATAGCTCCGCAGTTAGGAACACTTGGCTGTTCTTGCAAAGGACCTGGGTTCAGTTCCCAGCGTCCAGATGGCTCCTCAGTGAAATGAATATGGATGTTGACAGTAGGTCTTCATCCTTGCCTGGGCGCTGGGTAGAGGCATTTGAGGACTTGGCTCTGACACACTTCCCCATCCCACTTGCAGAGGCATGAAGGTGATAGAGAACAGAGCCATGAAAGACGAAGAGAAGATGGAGATCCAGGAAATGCAGCTCAAGGAAGCCAAACACATCGCCGAGGAGGCTGACCGCAAATACGAGGAGGTGAGTGGGACCAGCGTGGTGGCTGCAGGAAGCAGGAGGAAATGGTGGTGCTGATAGGAACCCATCGGAAGCCATACTGAGGATGATTGCCTCTGTGGGAACATCTGTATCGCCAGGCACAGCCTCTCGACTGGGAAACCAAAAAGTCATGCAGCCACTTGAATTGCTGGAGACACTGGGAAACCAAAAAGTCATGCAGCCACTTGAATTGCTGGAGACCAGCTGATCAACTCACTCCTCGTGTCCTTTAAGCTGGATGTGAGACCAGTTGGCAAAAGCTGAGGGTCATGATTGCCAGCCAGGATCTGCTGTTTTTATTATTATTATTATTAATTTATTTATTTAATCTTCTTGGACATAGGATCTCACAGGAGCTTGGGCTGGCCTGGAATTCCTGTTACCCTGGTTAGCCATGAACTCTTGATTCTCTGTCTACTGCTTCAGCTTTCCCTAAGTAGGCTGTCCTTAGTTTTCTAATATATTATATATATAAAATATACACACACACATATTTATTCATTTATTTATTTTTCTGAGAAAGGTTCTCCTGTAGTCCAGGTTGTTCTCCCTATATAGAAAAGAATGCAAGAGTGACTGTGAACTCCTGATTCTCTTGCCTCTATCTCCAAAGTGCTGGGGTGAACCACTACACCTGCCTGAATTTTGTTTTTAAAGTGTCTTAAGATATCTCAGGCTGGTCTCCAACTCCCTTTTATATAGCCAAGGGTAATCTTTAATTCCCAGTTTTCTTGCCTCTGCCCCCCAAAAGCTAGGATTACAAGCCACCGTGCCTGGTTTTGTTTTGGAGAGCGGGCCTCCCAAACAGAGGGCTGGCAGGTGTCAGCACCACACTGCTGGTGTTGACATGCTGGTCCTCCCTCCCTCTGTAGGTCTGTGTCTCGGCTCTGCTTTTTCCTTGCCTGCCTCACTGTAGGCACCTGAGATTTTCCATCTCTTGCCAGCTCCAGAGCTCTTAGCGTTGCAGGGAGCAGCATCTGCAGGAATGAGCAGCTGGTGGTGGTGGCTCTCAGTTGGGCCTTCTGTCTTTGTAGGTAGCACGGAAGCTGGTCATCCTGGAGGGCGAGCTGGAGAGAGCGGAGGAGCGGGCGGAGGTCTCTGAACTGTAAGTGGCAGGTGGGGTTGTAGGCTGTGCTGGCTGGGAAGTGCTTGTAGCTGGGGCCTCTGCTCAAGAGCTTGGGCATCCAAGGCTCAGGGCTTCTTCCCCCTTCTGCTTCATTAGCTGACAGAACGTGGTTGCCGATGGTTCTTACCACCAAGGGAAGCTTAGCTGGGTCCTTTTTCCACCAAGATACTGGGAAATTGAGTGGAGACCCTAGGACAGCATAGAGGCCCTAAGTTTCCTTCTTCCAGCCAGGGCTACTGTGCTTTGCATTGTTTTGCGTTTTGGTTTTTTGAAACAGTGTCTCTTGCAGCCTAGAATGCCTGATCCTCCTCCTGCCTCTGCCTGTTGGGATGCTAGGCGTGCACTACCACACTGACTTTTAAAATTTTTGTTCTTCACAATTTTATTTATATATTTAAACACACATATTATACTTTGATTACATCACATCTTTCACGCTCCTCCCACCAACCCCATTTTTCTCAGTTTGCCCCTCCTAATTTTCGTTTCTTCTTTTTTGTGACCCAAAAAAGAAGTTATTAGGTGTATATATTAGCATGAGCATGGGTAGGAGGTTATTTTCCTGAGCAAGGCTATAGCTGAATAGCTATAACACTGAGAAATGTATCCCCCATCCCTACCCCCACCCCCAGCCATTAACTGCTAATAGCTACTTGGAGAGGGTTGACCTCATGAGCCCATCTCTCCTCCATGGTGTTGACAGGTCCATTGTGGGCAGGTCCTGTGTAATTAGGCGCTGGCTGTGAGTTCATGAGTACAGTAGCCTGTCTTCTGCAGAAGCTTCACAGACCTGCTGCCCATCCTCTGGCTCTTACATTCCCGTCCCACTTTCTCAGAGTTCCTTGTTGCTGCTTTTGAATTTTTGAGACAAGGGTTTCAATACATAGCCAAGCTAGCCTGGAACTTGGGATCTTCCTGCCTCCACATGGCACATCCAGCCAGGCCATGTGTTCTTCACTGCATGCTGTCTATACATGGCAGATGCCCCAAAAGTGTTTCAGGGCTTCACTTCTGATATTGTTATTGGTGCTTGACACATTGCTGTGGAAGCAGCTTAGCTAGAATTCCACAGCTCCCAACAAACAAAACACCTCTCCCCTTGGCCCTGGACCAGGGATTCAGTTCCACAGAGAGCCCTGTGGGGCTGGGAGCACCCTGGTTCCACAGATGCATTCTAGGCTTGCTTCCTGGAGTGTTCAGTGTGAATGCTGAATGCCATCTCCCACCTCCCACCCTCATCTTACTTGCACACCTTCCTGAGAAAGCCGGGCCAGTCACAGATTTCACAAGTCCTGATTGCCTCATCCCTGGCAGGTGCCCAGGTTGCTCTACAAACCCTCCAAGTATCCTCTCCTGGGTTTGATAAGTTCCCAGCATTGCGGGGCGGGGGGAATTCACTTCTTGGAAGGGACTTCCTTGCTGCCATGGGAGAGAAAACAGATCTTTTGACTTGGTGCAGAAAGTGTGGCGACCTGGAAGAGGAGCTCAAGAATGTCACTAACAACCTGAAGTCACTGGAGGCTGCCTCTGAAAAGGTTGGATGGAGGGAACTTGCTACATTTTGGTCTGGTCTTCAGTCCAGGTGATCTGGCTTATGCCAGGGTGTTGGGAATGCAGACTTTTGTTAATGGGAGGTGTACTGAGGCAGGGTCTCTCACCTGAGGCAAATCTATCTGGCTAGTCTAGCTAGCCAGCTTGTTTCAGAAATCCCATCTCCACAGATGGGCTGCCATACCCATCCATTTTTTATGCAAATGCTGGGGTCCTCGATGCCAGGTGGAGCTTCGCTCACTGAGTCATCTCCTCAGCTCCTTCCTTTCTTGAAGTATTTGTTTAAAGTATATACGTCTTAACGCCGGCACGTCTGTCTGGTCACGACAGGGTGTCAGATCCCCTGCCACTGAAGTTATGCGTGGTTGTGAGCCTTCATGTGGGTGCTGGCAACGGAGCACTGACCCTCTGTAAAAGAAACAAAAACTCTTAAACTCTGAGCCATCTCTCCAGTCTCCTTACTCCTTTTTTTAACAACTGCCTTTTGGTTTCTTCCTCAGTATTCTGAGAAGGAGGATAAATATGAAGAAGAAATTAAGCTTTTGTCTGACAAGCTGAAGGAGGTGAGTGTAACCACACCCAGATAGTCTCTTTCTTGGGATAATCTGAAGCAAGGTAGTGACTCTCTTCTTTCCTAGGCTGAGACCAGAGCTGAGTTTGCAGAGCGGACAGTTTCTAAACTGGAGAAGACAATCGATGACCTGGAAGGTAGAGTCTCCTCTTTAAATGACACATGAAGAGCTGGGTGAGGGGGCCAGCGGAAGGCCGGATGGAGCTTTGTTTACAGAGTGAGGTCTTCAGAATTCTCACAAGAGATGCCTTGCATTTTTTAAATGCCTCCAGCTTTTGCTGGCCTCTCTCCCAGAGGCAAGGCTTATCTTCGTGTGAGGAAAAGGGAAGAGGGGGGCTTCAGGGCCTTGGTTCCCCGGGGCAACTCACAACTCAGCATTTCTTGAAGTGACTGTATTATTCTTCAAATAGAGCACGGAAATTCCAGGCACTTAGGATTGGGATCCTCTAGGTTGTCTCATCCAGTAAGAGAGTGAAACTTAATTTTTCACATCCCTTATCCATATAAGGGAAAGTATTCCATTCCAAAGGGTGCCCTATGGCAGGGCAACATCATTACATCATCAGAAGTCATCTTGGGCCCAGTGGTGGTGGTAGTGAGGGTTATTTATCTTGAGACAGGGTCTAAAAGTATTGAGCAGGCTGGCTTTGCCTCTGCCTCCTAAGTGCTGAGATTAAAGGTGCGTGCCACTACACCCAGCTTGTCATTATTTTAGGGCTCACCTAGGCTGTCCCTGTTCAGAACCTCAGACCTCTTAGCAGTCACTTCATACATCTGCTCGCTTGACATGGGGCTCAGCTTTGTCTGGGTTCACACTCTAGCTATTTTCCTGTTTGTCTGCATTGTCCCACCACAACCGTCCATCCTAGCTCTTCAACTCCCTTCCTGGGGACACCACCCTCTAGATAGAGTGCCCAAAAGCTGAAGTAAATAGTTATCAGCAAGGATCTGAGCCAGCCCTCGATGACATGACCTCTCTGAGGGCAGTAGGTGCCATCTTGGATCCTAGCCATCTCCAGGTGACTTCCTGGTGTGAACTTTGGCCTTTCCCCAAGTGTCAGAAATGACGACAAGCCGTCTTTTATCTTCTGTTCTTGCCTCCTCATCTTTGAGCTGGAGTTGGGTGCCTTTGACCATGGCCAGGATGAGGGATGGGCAGTTGGCTCTGTCCGTTACAGATAAGGCTTTCTTTACCAAAAGAAAAATGAGGCCCATGTGGTCCTTTTCTGAAAATAAGAAAACAAAAGCCCAACTGGCTGAGTCTCAAGCAGTGGCTAACCAGCATGGCAGCACAGTCACTGTTTCTTCCTCTTCCTCCTCTGCTTTTTCTCCTCTTCCTCCTCCTCCTCTTCTTTTTCGAGATAGGGTTTCTTTGTGTAGCCTTAACTGTCCTGGAACTTGCCCTGTAGACCAGGCTAGCCTTGAACTCATAGAGATCCACCTGCCTCTGCTTCCCGAGTGCTGGGATTAAAGGTGTGTGCCACCACCGCCAGTCACTGTTTTTTAATGAGGAGTGTCTGAAGTCAAGATGAAAAAGGCTGCCTTTGATTGGGGTTCAGTCTGTGACTTCAAGTGGGTGCAACAGTGATGTGGTCTCTGTTCAACCCTTGTTCTCTCTTTACACGTCTTTTTACATGTCCCCATGTCTCTACCACCTAGGGAACATAGCCAGTACCCAGTCCTGGGGTTAAAGTCACCTCCACATCCTGCCGCTAAGAGGCCGCACAAATGATCTAGCACCCTTTAGCATTGGAAGGAAGTTGAACCTGATGTGATGACAAAGACACAAATGTGCCGGGCACTTGAGGCTGGAGCAGGAGAATTTTGAATTTGAAGTCAGCTTGGATAACATAGCCAGGTCTTACATATCTCACAGGCTCTCCAAAAGAAAGGTGGGAGTGGAAGATGACTCAGTGGAGTGCTTGCTGAGCAAGCAAGAGGACCTAAGTTCAAATCCCCAGCACCCACATAAAAATCTGGACATAGTCCCACGATCCTGTAACCCCAGAACTGAGGGGTAGGTAGTAGTAAAGACAGGATCACCGGGGCTCCTTTGCTGCCTGCCTACTCAAGGTATAAGGTTGAGTGATAGAGCCTATGTCTTCAGCATGTGTACAAGGGCACACACAGGTACATACACAGAGAGAGAGAATGAGAATACAGGGGTTTTCCCCTTGAATTCCAAAATTACCTAAGATGAACATATTTCCGTAGTCCTTGGGATAAAACAGGAAAGCCGCAGGCACTGAAAGTTCATGATTAACGTGTCTAAAAATTGAGACTGATTCATCCTGACAATTCAAATTTCAGTCTATTTTCTTGTAATTCCATCACCACATCATATTATCCCTGAAACATGGACTTTTGTTTGTTTGGTGGTTTTGAGAGAGGTCTCAAGTAGTCAGGCTGCCCTCAAACTCACTACATAGCCAGAATGACCTTGAACTCATGACCCTTCTGTCTCGTGGTGTGCTGGGATCGCAGTCATGGTTAATGCAGTGCTGGGAGTGGAACATATGACTTGCACAGAACAGGCAGACACTTTACCGATAAGCTTCAGCCCCAGCCTAACACTGACATTTCTGTATCCAAGCTGTGTTTTCCAGATGACTACCACTACCCTTAAATCTGCAAAGTGCATGAAAATTGCCATTACCTCATCTTACAATTGTATTCAGGCGGGACCCCTGTCCCAATTCTTCTCTTTGTCATTCCTCCCAAACTTAACTATCCTGGACTGAAGAAATGGGTTGATTAGTAGAGTGCTTGCTTTTCAAGCATGAGGAGCTGAATTCAGTCCCTAGAAAAGGATAGGATGTGACAGGGGCATGTAGCCCCAGCACTGGGGAGGAGGATATAAGATCCCTAGGCTTGCTGGCCATTTAGCCTATCAAGTGCGTTTCCTGCCAGTGACAGACCATGTCTCAAAAAAGCAAGGTAAGGAGACAGGAGATATGACTCATCTTGGTTAAAACCACTTGCTCTTGTGAAGAGCCCAAGTGTATTTCCCAGCATCCAAATCAAGTAGATTATAACTCTATGTAACTCCAGCAGCAGGGGCTCCAACACCCTCTTCTGGCCTCTGCAGACACCTACATACATTGTCACAAACTCACACACACACACACACCATAATTAAAAACAAAAACAAAAAAACATAGATGGAAGTCTGAGGAACAACAGCCAAGGTTGACCTCCTGGCCAACCTTGCAAAGATTCATTTCTCCTATACCGCCCTCCTCACCACCAGTCTTTCCATTCCTATGTGCCATTGACCCTAACCCATTTTGTAAGCTGAGCAATTGGGAGTCAGAGGCAGGCAGACCTCTGATTTGGAGGTTAGCCTGGGCCAGAGCAAGTTGCTACAGAGAAATGCTGGCATTTTGTAGGCCCTGCCCTGTCCACCTTGCCTTGCATTCGCCCTGGGACAGAGTACAGGCCTTGAAAGGGGGTGGGGTGCCCTTGGTGTTTGCTCTGTATTTCCCTGAGATTTTTCCACACATGCATAGCCTCCACCCTTTGAATCAACCATCCCTTCCTGGTGTCCATCCTGTGTTGAAAGTCTCAAGGATTGGGAACAGTCTGGGGATGGGGCTGCAGGGGCTTCTTTCATCTCAGAACTAATTAACAAAATAAGCTGGGGAGGCCAGGATTAAAGGCAGAAGACCCTAGGTTGTATCCCCCCTCCACTATTGGAACTGTACAATGTTGAGCAAGCCACTTAGCTTTCTGTAAAACAAAGGTACCGTCTGGGTTACCAGCAGTGCTGCCTAAAAACACTGAGCAGCTAGCTCACAGAGTGTCCAGTTAACAATTTTCACCCAGTCTGGGTGGGCCAGGTCACAGTACTTTGTCACATGAAAGCCAGGTTGATCCTATCACAGTTTAGGAGGGCTTTCACTTTTCTTCCAGTATTTAATGACTCTTGGCCTGGTCTTTTATCACTCACACAGACCAGTTTTCTCTCATGCTTGGCCATGCAGAGCTCTCAATTGCTTTTTAAAGTTACTGTATTTATTTACTTACTTGGGAGTGAAGAGAGCACACAGTGCCGTAGCACAGATGTTGGAGGTCAGGGGACAATTTAAAGGTATCAAGTTTCTCCGTGAGCCCTTGAGATAGAACTAAGGTTTTCAGGCTTGGCAACAGGAACCTTGACCTGATGGGCCATCTCAAAACTGCCCTTTTATTTATTCTTTTATTTTAATTTGTTTAATCGGCTCAGTTATTGACCAGTTTGCCTGCAGGCCTACTTAGGTTTTGGTCTTGTGTCACCTGGGATTTGACTCCATTGCCAGGGGCACACATACAGTGAACACTTCATGCCTGGAATTACAACAGATACTCCAGAGGAAAAATGGCTTCCAGGATTCTACATTTTCCTAGCAAATGTACTGAGTCACCTGTATCTAGAACCACAGTGTTTATGTGTACAGCACTTCCTGAGTTCTGAAGAATGTCTCAGTTCTCATAAGGCCTCACACACACTGGTGTTACTCTGTCCACTTCACAGATGGGCAGACTAGGACCTAAAAAGGTTAAATGGCTCACTCTAATGGTACACTTTAAGGCTTCAGTGCAGGTGCTCTGGCTCAAGGATTGCTGAGATTACAGGCGTGTGCCACCCTGACCAGTGCTTTCGTAGCTGATTTTTCCTGTCACTGTTTGAGATGCCCCCTCCTTTTTTTTTTTTTTTTTTTACTTCCTGTAACAAAGTTGCTTATTAATTCATTTTTCCTTTCTGTCTTTACTAGAAAAACTTGCCCAGGCCAAAGAAGAGAACGTGGGCTTACATCAGACCCTGGATCAGACACTAAATGAACTTAACTGTATATAAACTAAGCCAGAAGAGTCCCGTTCTGACACCGACTGGACTCCAGAGAGTGCTGTGTCTTCCTCTCTTATAAGAAGTTCCTCTTATTGTGTCTCCACCTTGCTGGAAATGCCAAGCAGATAATGAATTTGTGACCAAATACTTTGTATCAGAAAAGCTTTGAGCACCAGTTAAGTTTAATTTCTGTCTTTTCTTTTCAAATGGCACCAGCTTCTTCAGCTATTCTTATTCTAAATTGCATTTATCCCTAAAATAGCAGGGAATTTTGCAGTGAGTGTAGTTGCTTAAGGCTGAGGGCATTGGTTCCTGGGAATTAGTCAGCCCCACACTCTGAAGCACAGGCTCAAGTATCTGATTGTATCTGGTTACTGTTGGGGAAGTTATGTGAGGCTGGAGGTTGTCACAAGAAAAAGTGTAGGAATTTTCCACCTAGAGCGAAAATTAAAAGCAACTAGATTGGCCTGATCATGCTGTGTCTGCTCCACTGTGCAGAACAAGTTTCCTGTAAGCATTCTGGGCAAGGGTGCTGAGATAATGGTTGCTGCCCACGTGTCTTCTGACAGATCTTTAGTGCTGTTTTACTCACATTTTTCCTTTCACTCTAAAATTGTTCTCTAAGGAGCAAGTGTCTTATTCCAGGACTTGTCTGCTGTGGTGTAACGACATGCTCAGGAGGGAATATGGTGGAGTCCAATCTTTTTCCGATCAGTCATGTCAAAAAGACTGCTATCAAAGCCAGGAACATCTTAATTCTAGCACTTGGGAGGCAGGTGCAGGTGGGTCTTGAGTTTGAGGACAGCCTGGTCTGCAGAGTAAGGTTCAGGACAGCCACAGCTACTCAGTGAAACCCTGTCTCAAATAGCCTTTGAACAGTCTGTTTTAATAACAAATGTTGGGCATCAAAAGGTCTCTTTAGCAGCAAAGTAATGATAGATAAAGAAATTGGCTTAACTTCATCTCCATTGTTCAAAGAACAACAAATGAAAGCTTGCTTGACTTTGCCAAGACTTGAATTCCTTCAGGAATGACACTAAGACCAAAAAAACTCCTGATTGAACTGGATATGGGAGTATTCTGTAGGCTGCACACTTCTTTTTGGCTTTATTGTAGTTTTGCTTTCTCAGTTAACATCTCACATTGAAACATTCCACATTCCCCAGCAGCGTGGAGCCAGCTCCAGTTTACAGTCCTGACTGAAAACCGCCTGCTTCTAGCTTCTCTGAGCCCCTGCCCTCACTACTATTTATGAAGCACCACACTACCAGGGAGGTGACTTTTAGCAAACTGTGCAATTGAATAAAACCTACTCTGTTCTTTAGATTCTTGCAATTGTATCATATGTGATAGTATCACTTTTTCTACGTTTTGGTCAAATAAATTTTTACATAAACAATATATGTGGGTTTATTCTTTTTTAGTTCACAGTTGAGTAGGGATATATAATACATTCTGATTGTGTCACATGCACACCCATACGTCCTTCCCACCCTGTGCACCCCACTTCCATCCCTCCTCTCATTTTGATTTTGCTTTGCTGCACATTTAGTTAAATACCGCTACCTGTGACTGAGTTTGAAACTTCCACTGGAGCCCAGAGGGATCATTGGTAGGTACTCAATTGAAGGTAGTGATTCCTCCCTCTTTTTCTGAATCTGTCATCAAACTAGTTCTGCACTGAGGGGTGGAGGCCCCAAGCCCCTCCCTGTCTTGTACTGACATAGTATAGACATAGTTATTGAGAATTACAATTATGGTGGCTATATCTTGCCCAGATGATGTCGTATTTTAAACTTTATTTAGTGTGTGTCTGCTTGGCCACTGAAATGCGTACCATGGTGAGTAGATGGAGGTCAGGGAACAACCTGAAGGAGCTGCTTCTCTACTTTGACCATCTGGGTTCTGGGGATCGAAGACAGATCTTCAAACCTGGCAGCAAATGGCTTTACCAGTGAGCTCAACTGTGTGGTTTAGGATGTGCAGATACATAAACCTTTTTTTGTTTCCGAGACAGGGTTTCTCTTTGTAGCGTTGGCTGTCCTGGACTCACTTTGTAGACCAGGCTGACCTGGAACTCATAGAGATCTGCCTGCCTCTGCCTCTCTGAGTGCTGATATCACAGGCGTGTGCCGCCATGCCATGGTGCTCACATAAACCATTTTAAACAAATGGTAGCAGAATGCAAAGGTGACTGTGCCCAGTGCTCAGCAAGTAGCTGCTTTTTGCCTTACACTGACTTCGTGATACAAAGATGATAATCTCCATAGTTAGGTGGGACATATGGCCTCTGTCACTCAGGGTGGTCCTTTGGGATTCCTAATTCTGCCTAAGCTTGGCTAAGCAGAATGGGAAGATTTTAATAAATGGTACAGTAGGGCTGGAGAGATGGCTCAGAGGTTAAGAGCACTGGCTGCTCTTCCAGAGATCTTGAGTTCGATTCCCAGCAAGCACATGGTAGCTCACAGTCATCCCTTCTGGTTTCCAAGTGTATATGCAGGCCAAATGCTGTAATAAAATAAAATGGTACAATGGTCAGTGTAGGGGGATCGCATATCAGATATCTACATTATGACTCATAACTGGTTGGGGTCACACAACATGAGGAACTGTATTAAAGGGTTGCAGCATTTGAAGGCTGAGAACCACTGAGGTGGTGAAAGGTTTCTGTTTTAGTTAAAATGTAAGGCAGCCGGCAGGGTGGCAAGCATTCAGAGAGAGAGGCAGGCAGATTTCTCTGAGTTCAAGGCCAGCCTGGTCTACAAAGCATAGCCCAGGACAACCAAAGCTACACAGAGAAACCCTGTCTCAAAAAAAAAAAGGCCTGTTGTGATCAGACTTTTCCTGTGTTACACACACAATGCCAAGCAGGAAATAAAAAAGTAAAAGGTAAACTGGACCCACATGGTAAAAACTGGAACTTTGAGCAGAAATGGAAGTAAACAGCATTATTAGGAAACTAGGCATCTATTTCCAGAAATACTGTGTCTGGCTGGATTTTAGAGGGTAAGGACTTGCAGGATGGCTCAGGGTAAAAGTGCTTTCTGTGCAAGGCTGACCACCTGAATTGAATTCCTGGATGCCATGGTGGAAGGTGAGAACCAACTCCCAAAGATGTCCTTCCAGGGCTGGAGAAACAGCTCAGCAGGGAAAGCCACTTGCTGTTCTTGCAGAGACCTGGGTTTGGTTCCCAGCACCCGCACCAGGCAGCTCACAACCATCTGTTCTGCAGTTCCAGGGGATCCAGCAACTACTTCTGGCCTCAAAAGAACACTTAGGCTTATGTTACACATACAGATAAGCAGACACCCATACAATAGAAATAAACGTCCTCTGATCTCCAAACATTCCATGGCATTCGTGCACCCGTAGTCACTAATGAAAAAACATTTTTTTAAGTTTATTTTTTGAGACAGGATTTCTCTGTGTAGCCTTGGCTGTACTGGACTCACTTAGAAGACCAGGCTGTCCTCAAACTCAGAGAGAGATCTGCCTGCCTCTGTCTCCCTGAGTGATAAGATTATAGGCATGCGCTACCATGCCCAGCAAGAAATGTTTTTAAAGGGGACTATTTGGGGTAGCAGTTGCTAGAAAGAGGAAGTGATCTTTCTCTTTGGCTGTGTGGTCAAGGATGTGGAATAAGACCCTGTTAGTCACTATAGTTTCACTACCAAAATTGCTTTAGTGTTTTGCTTCAAAATCTTACTTGAAGAGGGAGGTGAGGGATGGAAGAAAATGGGTAGTTTTCATTGGGTGCAGCGTTGCAGGCTAGGTGAGGCTAGAGGCCTTTACTCCCCTCTCCCCCTTTGTTTTGTTGGCTTTTGGATTTTCAAGACAGACCTTCTCTGTATAGCCCTGGCTGTCTTGGAACTCTATAGACCAGGCTGGCCTCAAACTCACAGAGACCCACCTGCCTCTTCCTCCCAAGTGAGGAGATTAAAGGCGTGGACTACCATTGCCCAGCTTTTCTCCCTCCTAACCCCACGAGGCTGGATTCTAACCAAACTCAGATATTTTGTCACTTTTGTGCCTTAGCAACTAAGTGTTCAGCTTGGCTTAATACCAAAATGGGAGAATTGAAGCCGGTCAGGCTAATCTCTGATGACTTAGGATATACTCAGGTTTGGCAAGTTTTGACAGACTCCAAGAAGGCTAAAATAATACTAAAACGTTCCAGTGTTTGCTGACTTGTCCCAGTCTTGAGGAGTTCCTAATTCCATGAACAAGACAGAAGAGGGTAAGGTTAGGACCAAATTTCCAGGAGTGGACTAAGGCGAGGGTGGATATTAGGTAACCATTAAGAATGAGCACACCAGTGGCATACACCTGTAATCCTAGCACTCTGGGAAGCAGAGACAGGCAGATCTCTGTGAGTTTGAAGCCAGAGTGGTCTACAGAGCGAGTCCAGAACAGCCAAGGCTACACAGAGAAACCCTGCATGACTCTATAAAGTGGACAGGAAAGAATGTAGGGATGTGACTATAGTAGTGGAAATGGATTTGAACCTCTCTAAGAACCAGGATGTGGACTAGAGGTGACTTAGTAATGTGCTTGCTGAGCATCATGAGTTCCTGAGTTCAGTCTTTCATGTGAGAAAGCCAGGCATAGTGGTTTGCATCTGGTAAGTCCAGCACTGGGGAGATGGTGACAGGAGGCTCTCTCTATAGCTCTCTGCCCAGCCAGGTTAGCCAAACTGGCAAGCTTCAGTGAGAGATCCTGTCTCAAACCATAAGGTAGCGATTGAGGAAATCAGACACCTAACAAAACCAACCTCTAGCCTACAGACACACACACACACACACACACACACACACAAATGCACAGCCATACACAGAAGCAGATATATACAGAATGAGGATGAGAGTTTTTTTTAAAGAAATTATTTTTTAAAGAATTATTTCAGTTTTACCTACAAGATGAACAAGCTAGTCTACATAATGACCAGTAAGCAATTAAACATAGGCAATGGATGCGTAATTTATTTTTGACACTATTTATTCATTTATTTATTTTATGTGTGTACGGGTATGTGGTGCATGCCATAGTATGTTTGTAGAGGTCAGAAAACAGTTTATAGAAATTGAGTCTATTCTGTCAACACTTAGATTTTTCCTTCATGAGGATGTTTACTAAGAATACAAACTGATGGTTAGGGTTAAGGGGTGACTCCCAGCAGGGCCACATAGGTGAAGAAGCTCTGAATAGAGGAGATAACATCCTCACATACCTTCCACGTCTCTGGGTCCAGCCTCAGCCTGACAACCTTGGTCTAGAACATCAAGTTTTCACCTCAGCAGCTTACTGCCACTGTACCCTGCTCTCTCCCTTCCACACTGGACACCTTGAACCCCTGCCACATAGATCTCAAGAATCTAATTCAAGTTGTCACTGTTAATCCAGAAATTTGCTGGCAAAAACCAATTCCACCATTTCAGGCCAAATTAAGGCAAGCTTTATTAAATGTTAAATGCTGACCAAAAGATAACTTTCATCAAGACCGTTCCCAGGAATTTCCTAGCTGGGAATGGCCTGGAACCATGTATTGCCAGGGCTTAAAAGGGCAAACCTATAGACCACCATACTTTCCCATGAGGTTTTATTATTTTCCAAGAACTACAATTCCTAGCATTGCAGCCAGTTATCTGGTCCCTGGGCAGATGGGGCTTACAGGTTAATGTTGGGCGTTACAGTCAACCACGGTAGCACACAGCTTCATCTACAGAGCCATCTCATTTGCCCCTGGGTGAGCAATTTAGATGATCACCATGAAGATACTAGAAGCCACAGAAAAAAGTCACCCGGAAAATGACAATCAGACGGAAGACGCTTGGAGAACACCAATATTTAAATAGAAACAAGAATCTACAGATGTCTGTAGTGTTTAGCAAAGGGGAGATGGAGATGACAGAAGAGAGAGGCAACTCACATGAAGAGAATATCAAGAAAAAGGAATTTTCAGAGGTAATCAAAAGAAGCAACTACCACAGGGGCTAAGGCCTAGAAAGTGGATATCAGTTCTGATGGAAACTTCACAAGCAGAGGTAATGAATACAGTAAGGGAGGAGAGGAAGGCATAGCCCAGCTTCCTGCATGTCCTTAGGTGAATCTCTGCCTAACACTTCAGAGTAACCCAAAAGCAGACTACCTTTGAGAAACAGGCAACCATAGATCAAATGTTAACCTTCTCAAGGTACTGGAGTAGCCAGGTCCCTTCCCTGAGGACCTCCACTACCAGGGTGCATCCACAGAACACTCTAACTGCCCTAATGGCTGGACCCAGGCCCCACTCTACTGAGTAAAAAGCACAAGCTCTGGACTTGAAAATCCACCAGTCCATACCCTGGAAAGCTCCAACCCTCAAGCCATATAAACCCTGTCTTCTGCTCAGTTTTCTATTCATT